TTTGAACCTGTGTCTAAGACCTCCAGATTAGTTAGTGGTGACACCCCCTATGTGAAATCTAGCATTTAGAGGCTGCATTCATGGTGAAGAGACGTTAGGGATTGAGAGAATAAGCATGCGCATTTTTCGCATCAAATTGTCCTGACCCCACTGGTCGAGAGTGAGCTATTCATTTTCTCATTTTCTCTATACTCTTTACCCCGGTGAGGACCTAGATTGCTCGGTCTTAATTCTGATATCTTGAGCTTTGTGCATGAAGTGACTGTTTTGAACAAGTGGTTGAGTCAAGTCTATGTTGGTTGGTGAACAGAAGAGAACTCTTCCTTTGCTCGACTTTATTGCATTCGAATGTCATCTGTGGTGGTTGTCTAGGTTGTCGTTCGAGTTGCCATGTGTTAATGATCGCAAGCCAGTATGATCCACGTGTTTTGTGCCGATACGATTTGCCCTAAAGCCTGCTTGATTGAAACGTTTTGAGCTTACCTGGTGTCTGACTTGGTTTGCTTAGGGACAAGCAAACGGTTAAGTGTGGGGGAGTTTGATAGACCGATAATTACACATGTTTTCACCCCTATTCTGAAGCCGTTTGAGATGTTGATTCTTGTGTTTTAAGCCGATTTCGCGCTAGGTTGTGTGTTTATGTCATATTTCAGGACCCGGCATTGGAATCGAGGCGGAGAAACGAGTTCTGGGTCGAAAGGAGCCGAGTTGGGACTAAGTGGGCTGCAGGAGGAAAATACCCGGTCAGGTGGCAAAATACCCGACCGGGTATTTATCATTTTGGGCACCCGTGAGAAACAGAAGGGGGCCCGGGCAAAAGGCAAAACTCCCCGGTCGGGGATTATTGGACGAGACCGGGGATTTTCCCCTGGCATGAAACGGTGCGCTTCAATTATACCCGGTCGAGACCCAAAATACCCGACCGGGTATTTCGACCGGGTATCGCGACAGGCAGCAGATTTAAGGGAAAGGAAGGCCAAAATTCAAGAATTCGAGTTTTAGAGAGACAGAGCAATTCCTAGAGAGAGAAAGTGACAAACCAGAGTTCCCAAGTGCCATAGCTTGATCTTCATCACCATTGGAGCCCGGCTTGAGCTTGGAGGAGTGTCGAACAACGTCCAGGAGCAGAAATCCATCCTTCACAGTATGATTTCCGCGTCTGAATCTGCTTTTGCTTCTTTCTCTATGGAGTAGTTCCCCCATTCATCTGGGTATGGGGAACCCTAGATTTGTATGCTAGGTCTGATTGTATGAACCCAAGTACAGAGTTTGTGAATTGATTATATTCGATTGAGGTTTGAATGACTTGAATCCTAATCAAATTCCTGTTGTTTCTGCTTTGACCTAGAATGAGAATATCTGCCTAGGTTGATAGAGTACCCTTAATCGAAGGTAGCGAATTGGTGACTTTAGTCGAGAAGCCAATTCGCTGTTCTGTACCGAATTCATTTCGGTAGTGGAGGTTTGGCTCGTTAGGGCCTCAATCTGTTTACTCCGGTGGAGGTTAGTCGCCCGCTAGAGACACAGATTGAGAGGGTCTGAAGACCTTTAGTCGAGACTTTAGGCTATTTAAGAACCTTCCGCAGTATAATTTCATAAAAACTGAACTTGGTAAATTACAATCCGGCTTAACTGCAGTCTAGGGGGAACCATATCCGGGTGACCTCTCTTGACTTGAACAACCGTTTAACTTGCTTTGTGTTTTTTTGTTTGTTTGAATCTGCACGAAAAGTTCACTGCTAGATAACGAGATTTCACCGAGTAGTCATCACATCTAGGACCCGGGTTGACAATAAAACCCAAACCCGCTATACTACGCTTTAGGAAGTGGTTACACTTGGCCATTTTCTAGAGTGACAGTAGGAGTGAGTCATGGTCACAGCTATTTGCAGTCCAAATAAGGTGAATGGCAGGCAGTTCTGTATGATGAGTTGAGGAGGCAGGGGGTGTTCAATGAACCTGGAGTGCTCTTTGGGGATTTTATTGCTATTGTGGAAAGTAATGAAGCGTCAAATTGTCCAGGTTCTACGCAGAGTATGGTTGACTTTCGTCAATGGATTCTGGATATGTAGCTGATAGATCATAAAACTTTAGGTTCGTGGTTTACTTGGTGGAATAAGCAATCTGATAATCCCATTGCTCGGAGGATTGATCGGGTTTTGGTCAATATGAAGTGGCTGGATATATTTCCTAATAGTGTAGTCCAGACAATTTCTCTTGGGGTCTCTGAACATTGCGGGCTTGTTGTTCAAACGGACTCTAAGATGTCCACATTGCCAAAGCCTTTAAATACTTCATGTTCTGGCGGCAGCATCCACAGTATAGAAGTCTTCTTGAGGAGGCTTGGCAAGGGGCAGCATCAGGAGAGCCTTATCAAATTCTATATAGGAAGTTGGGGGGTGCTCAAGGCAAAGCTAAAGGGTCTGAACCGAACTGCTTATTCAGAGATTTCAGTTAGAACAAGGGAGGCTGAGGCAAAGCTGGAGGTGCTTCAAAGTACTGTATTGGCTAGCCCATCTGAATTTGCTTCTCGGGCGGTTTTAGAACAAGAGAAAGTGTGCGCTGAGTTGCACAATGCTGAAGAATCTTTCTACAGGCAAAAGTCTAGGGTTCAGTGGATTAGGAAAAGTGATACCAATACTGGTTTCTTCCATGTTGTGGTGAAAACCAGGAATCATAGGCAGACTATCCAGAAGCTTGTATCTGATACATGGGAGGTGGTTACAGATATCAAGGGTATGAGCGCATTAGCAGTGGACTTTTATAAAGGGCTTTTGGGGGCTGCTGATCCTATGGTTCAGCCGCAATCACTGGAATTCTTTGAGGAGCTCTTATGTCATAAGTTGACCACTGATGAAGCTGTTGTTCTGATTACACTAGTTACTAGAGAGGGGATTAAGTCAGCCTTTTTTCACATGGGAAGGGATAAAGCTCCAGGACCTGATGGATACCTTGCGGAGTTCTTCAGGCTTGATTGGGATATTGTTGGTGTCGAAGTGGAAAATGCAGTTCTTGATATCTTTGCTACTGGTGTTATGCCTCGTAAGGTAAATTCAACAGTTATCTCTCTTATTCCTAAACTTTCCATAGTAGAGAAGATGAAAGACTTTCGTCCAATATCGTGTTGCAATGTGATCTACAAGGGTATCTCAAAGCTTCTGTCTAATAGGCTTTCTCTGGTTTTGCCGAAGCTCATAGCTAAGAGTCAGTCTGCAGGGGCGTTTAATCAGTGATAATATACTCATGGCAACTGAATTGGTCAAATATTATCATAGGAGTACAGTCTCACCTAGATGTGCTTTAAAGATATATCTAATGAAAGCTTTTGACTCTATGGATAGGGGTTTTCTGCTTATGGTGCTCAGAGCTATGGGTTTGCCTTTGAGTTTTGTCCAGTTGGTGGAGTCGTGTGTTTCTACACCAATGCTAAGTGTATCTTTTAATGGCGGGTTGTGTGGCTACTTCCCAGCATCGAAAGGGCTGAGACAGGGGGATCCATTATCCCCCTATCTTTATACAGTGGTTATGGAGGTGTTCTCTTGCCTTCTCAACAAGGCAGTGGTTCATAGTCTGGTTCCTTTTCACCCGCGTTGTAAGAGTTTGGAGATTTCTCATCTCTATTTTGCGGATGATCTATTAGTTTTCACTAATGGATCATCTCGGGCTATGGTTGGTATCAAGCAGGTTTTAGACCATTTTTATCATATCTCAGGGCTTAAATGCAACCCTCAGAAGTGCCAGCTATTTTGCTCAGGAATCTCTCAAGATGAAAAGCATGTTTTATCTCAGCAATCTGGGTTCCCTTTAGGTGAGCTCCCTGTTCGCTATCTTGGGGTGCCACTCCTTTCTGGGAAGCTGTCGTCAATTGACTGTGACTGTCTAGTAGAGAGAATCACGAAGAAAATACAAATATGGCAAGATAGATTCCTAAGTTATGCAGAAAAGTTACAGTATTGGGTGTCGATCTTTTTACTTCCATTAAAGGTGCTTAAGTTGATTGAGATGGTTTGTAATAGATTCTTGTGGGGTATGGATGGTGATAAGAGGAAGAAGGCTCATGTTGCTTGGTCACAAGTAGCTCTGCTGTGACAGGAAGGGGGGGTTGGGTATTAGAGATTTTAAAACTTGTAATAAAGCTTGTGTTATTCGTCACTTGTGGAATATTCTTGCAGAGGAAGGCTCGTTATGGGTGGCGTGGATGAATAAGTATAGTATTAAAGAGAGAAATATATGATATCTCCCTGTCAATACTGGTTTCTCGATACTCAGTTAAGCGGATATGGGGATCGATTAGAGTTCCTTTTCCTGTTGTATCGTGGGCTCATATCGTTTGGAGCAAACCTGTATATACTAAGCACTGTGTGCTGCTGTGGTTGATTATCTTGGGAAGGATCCGCACGAGGGACAAGCTGATCAGTTGGGCGATCAATTGTGATGGATGTTGTGTATTATGTCCAGGGGGTTTGATAGTAGAGACCATCTGTTTGGTTCTTGCTCTTTTAGTACAGAGGTGTTAAGGCTAGTTCTGCAAGATGTTTGTGTGTTTCCTATGTTTGTTGAATGGAAATTGCAGTTGGAATGGGCTGAGCAGGTCTGGTCGCAGTCCTCTGATAAAGCAGCAGTTGGAAGGATATTATGGATCATGCGAATCAGTACTATATGGAAGGAGAGATGTGCGAGATTGTATGGAGGTGTGGCTGCCAATTCTCCTTCTCAAGATGCCCAGAAGATTATGAAGGAGTTTCTCATATTTGCAAGTGGACAGAACCCTTACCAGATGAGAGTACAGAGAGTTTTGAAGCACCGAAGTAGAGTTGTGAGTTTTGTTATCTTTGCAGTTGGGTTATGAAGTTTAGTTTGTAATAGCATAATTACATTTTTTGAGAGATTTTGCGAGTTGCACTTCTTTACGCTTTAATGCAATTTTTGATTAACCATTAAAAAAAAATATGACAAGCTACAAACAACAACTAAGGGGTCAATGGTGTAATTCAGCCACATGTAGTTGATGAGGTCTGGTCACCGACTTCGTCTACAGAAGATCGACAAAGAAAATAGAAGGACTAATGGATTTGGAGAGCGTGAAGAGGTATCTGGAGAAAGGTAGTGGGCTTCTGGAAGATGACGACAAGAATCGATCAGCGATCGACGGTATTCCTAACAGATTCTTCGAGCGATTCATTATGCAAGGCCTTCATGTCGATCTTGTGGAACCCGGTCGCGTTATTTGCTCCATGAAAGTCCCACCTCGTCTCCTGGTACGCTAACTTGCTCCTTTTTATCATTTGTCGCTCGATTTAAGGAGAAACCCGAATTTGCCATGACCTGAATTCTTCATTTAGGGTTGTTTGTTAGCTGAATATGGGTGGAATTTTGAGGATTAGAAGACTATCCTGTTTATTTCAGAACTGAAAGTTGCAGGCTTTGGTGTGGGAATATTCGTTTAGACCTTTTCCCCCTCGCTCGGTTCTAGTGTAAATTACGCTCCTGATTGTTGGGAGTTGAGTTTTCGTCGATATTATACATGTTCAGTATTGCAGAACGCTGGCAACTTCTTGCACGGTGGAGCCACAGCCACACTCGTTGATTTGGTTGGGTCAGCTGTGATATTCACGGTTGGAGCTCCGCAGACTGGAGTTTCAGTTGAAATCAACGTTTCATACTTGGATGCTGCTTATGTCAATGTGGGTATTACTGCTCTTTCTGTGTTACTCTTTTACTTGTATTAGACTCAATCTTGCACATGGTCGTTCAAGTGATCATTGTTCCTTCCCTTGGCTGATGTCAATTGCAAATGACCAGCAGTGGTATATGTTTTTCTGTAGAAAATTGTGATGAGGTTCTGAAACATATTTGCTAGGTCAATGTGATTTCTGTATTTTGAGGTTGAAGAACTGAGTTTGGTCCATCTGTATCTTGATCGTCCTGTCGTAAAGGGTTCTTCTTCCTTTTCTAGTTTGCTGTAAGGTTAGAGTATCTATGGTTGCTGGTAAACTTTTTTCGGACTTGGCTGTGACTGTAAACAATGTTGAGTGCCTCTAGTTTCAGCTTTGAAGTCCGTGTGCCATTCCTTAGTAGTTCAACCTTTGTACAATAAGAATATATATATAAACTAGTTTCGCTCTACAATCAGCAAGAAGTGAAGTTCCTTGTGTTTATTATGCTGAGGACGCAGAAGTCCGTAGTTGCATTCAGTTGAGATAGTAATGGTTGAAAGATATAGATTTTGGTCCACCTCTCATTTCATGCATTTTTTCGGCATGGGAACGAGAGCTCTGCTTCCTTGTCTTGCTCGAAACTCAGAACTAGATACAGGGTTTCCTGTGGTATTCATCTTTGCCTGCCTAATAAGGCAGTGAATGTCTATGGCCCATTCGAATCTTAATTCGGGTGGAAAGCTCCAAACAATTCTTTGTATTAGACTGTGAACTTCTGAATATCAATTGGCATATAGTTCTCGCTTACTTCTTGCACGCATCAAGTCTTGTCTCGCATGTAGCTCAGATATAATAAAGTCGATGATTTGAAACAGGAAGAGATAGAAATTGAAGCCAGAATCTTGCGAGTTGGGAAGGCTGTTGGAGTTGTCAGCGTCGAGTTCAGGAAGAAGAAAACAGGCAAGATTATTGCTCAGGGGCGTCATACCAAATACCTTGCTGTTTCTAGCAAAATGTGAATTGCCGCCAGCACCAGGGGTAACTATCCTACAACTGTTTTTCTTGTATTGTAGATGCATACAGGGATAAATCTGGTTTCAATATAAAGCTAGCAGAATTTGACATTTGCTTCCACACTATTGGTAATCTTGGAAATTGACAAAGTCCTCCCTGTTTGTAATAATTGATCACAAACTTGGCTGGGTGTATTGAGAAAATGAAATTATACAGAAACCTCGGTTTAATGGGGGGAAAAACCTCAGAGTAAGAGAGGAGAGACATTATAGTTGAGCTAGGCTTCAAGAATGGTGAAGTCGTCCCGGCTCAAGGTCGAGCAGGTGGTCTTTGTATGTTCTGGACTGGTGTTGGTGAATCGAAATTGAGATCAACCAAATTCTTGCAGGCGCTGAAAAGAGAGGTGACAACCTTATCACAAGAATTTAGATTCCGGGTTCTGGGAGTGGAGTCTTTCTAGTTGATATTAGGAAAGCTTTATTTGAAAGAGACAACAACATAGAAAACAACCTCACAAGATTGTGCCGTGGAACAAATGGCGCCTCAGCAAGGTCCATGCTCTGATGATGGTTACTCAACAGGGATAAAAATAAATTGGAATGTTAATTGGTGCTCTAGTGAGAAAAATGGTGATCGGCTACCTAGATCTGAGTTATCTCCCACCTGAATGGAACCATAGTCTTTTGGCTTTAACCCAAAAATTAAAATCCCCAAGAGTCCCGGTGATTTTCGTCCTATCAGCTTATGTCGTATTATCTACAACCTAATCTCTAAGACGCTAGCCAATCGACTTAAACTTGTCCTTGATAATCTGATCTCGTAGACTCAAATTGCATTCGTGCCGAGAAGACTCGTTAGAGATTGAATGCTTTCATTAGAGGTGCTAATAAAACTTGTAACTCAAGCTCAAGTTATGTACCCTGTATCGGTATTTCAACTTCGAGAAGGAATTATTGAAGAAATCCAAGGGATTATCTCACAATTCTGGTGGAAAAGAAGGAATTTAGGCGCCCCTGGATCCGCTGGGAGCCTGGGACAACTTTTGTGATGAGAAGAAGTTTCTTTAACAGGGCTTTCGAGATGTAAAAGCTTTTATTCAAGCAATGCTTGCCAAACTATTATGGAGTGATGTCACAATACCTTCATCCCTAGCGTCGAAGCTTCTTAACGCAAAATACATTCTTAAACCTACTTTCTCGGAGGCTAGAGTAAAGCCTACTAATAGCTTTATCTGGAAAAGACTATTGGAAGCTAAGAGACGTCAGTCGATGGTGAACTAGAAAACAGAAGAAAAGGATGTGTATGTTTGGGTGATTGTAAGATGTCTTTTTCATAACTTAACTAATTTTTATTTATATTGGATAAATGCCGCATTTGGTTACTGAAATTACTAAATCGTGAAGTTCCTGGGAAGGGGTTTTGGAGCTCTGACTTTGTAGGAGCCGCGAAAAGTAAGTTTGGGCGATCTAGGGTTTCTTTCCACCCACCATGCCGGCGGTGGCCGCGCTGCAAGTCGGTGTGGGTATGAGCAGCCCCCCTCTGGCGGAGACGGTAGCCGGTCAACGTAGGCCTCTCCTACAGATTCATCTTCGCCGAATCCTAAGGGGGATAGGGAAGCACAACAAACAAAGAAACGGGCGAAGCAAACAATCCTTTTCCCTGAGGGAGAGATATGGGACGAGGAACTTCACGACGCAAGCGACGAGGGCAGCAAAACGCCAGGTCCGGCCAGCCCCCGCCCTTCGGTGTGGGGAGCGGGTGCGGGAGCAGCAAGGAGGCTGTTTGGTGACTCTGCACGAACGGGTGTTTGGTACATAGCCGACTCCGATTCGGAAGATGTGGCGGAAGCAACAAGGGAGGAGGGTAGGGATGCAGGTTTCGATGGAGAAGTGGATCCCAAGTGTCCGGATATTTACTACACAGCAGCGGAGGAGAGGCTGTTTAATCGTGAATGGCGATCAGCATTAGTGGTGAAGGCCCTGGGGAGGTCTGTCTCCTACACACTGATGGCGAAGAGGCTGAATATGATCTGGGCGAAAGCAGGAGGCATAAAGGTTACGTCAGTCAGGAATGGCTATTTCCTGGTGCGCTTTACGAGTGGAGTGGATTTCGAACGTGCTGTGGCGGGAGGTCCATGGATGGTGCGCGATCATTACTTGACTGTGCACCCCTGGACTAAGGATTTTAATGCATACGAGCATGAGATTTCTTCAACTCTTGTTTGGGCACGCCTGCTTGAAATCCCGATACAGTATTTCCACCCAGTGGCTGTAATGAAGATTGGGAATCGGATGGGCAAACCGTTGCGTGTTGATCACGCGACGAGCACTGGAGCTAGGAGTGATTACGCACGGGTATGTGTGCAAGTGGACCTTACCAACCCCTTGTTGTCACATGGTAAAACCTATTACATCCAATATGAGGGTTGGGAAAATATTTGCTTGAAGTGTGGTACCTACTCTTCGGGAGGTAAGTGCTTTTTCCCACATACAGTTGCAAGCATGAATGCCGAGAGCCCCCTACCACAAGAACCGGTCAAAGAAGTGATGATGGAGGCCTCTAAGTCACCGAGAGCCCCGGAAGGCCATTACGGCGAGTGGATGATAGCCAAGAAGAGGCCGCGTGCGAGGAAGGAGGCAGTAACACAACGCTCGGGTAAAGATGGGATGAAGTAGACGAACAGAGCCTCCGGGTCGGCCAGTGGTTCGAGGTATCACGCGCTAGCTATAGATGAGATGGAAGAACAAGAGAGCGATTATGTGAGAGAAGAGCCACGAGCGCCTCGAAGCGGCAATTATGATGACGAACATGCTAGAAGAGTCCCCCAGGGGAAACCCGAAAAAGGGACGAGTCAGAAGAAACACATCCATGTAGAGAGTTCTCCTCGCTCACGTGAAAATTCTACCCCCAAGGAAGCAGTTGAGAAGACAACTAAGCACACCGAGACCATTGTGATCGAGCCAGGGTTGAGCCATGCAACATACACGATGGAGAGACAGACATTTAGTGGTGTGCCAAAGGCCAGCGAAAATGAGGTGCCAGCAGTGGGTCCGACGAAGGATGGTGGCCCGACGTTGGTGTCGGGCAAGGGTTCTTGCTGTGTTCCGGACCATCCTACCCGACCACCCGATAAAATGAGTTTGGATGCCCAGGAACCACCGGTGACCGAGAGTGGAAGACTCGAAGTAGCAAGGGCAGGGACCAAAGTGATGCCAGGGAGCCTCGTGCCTGGAGGTGCCCCCATGCATACGTGATTTTTTGTGAATGTGTAGACCTCTTTCCATCGATTAGATCATGTTGAATATCTTCTCATGGAATTGTAGGGGTGCGGGAGGGAAACGCTTCCTCAGAGTGTTCAGAGAATATAGACGTCGATATCGTCCTTGTATGGCTATTATAGTTGAGCCGCGAATAAGTGGGGGCAAAGCTGAGAAGGTTGTCCAAGGGATGGGATACGATAAATGGTTAGTCGTAGAGGCGGCAGGTTTCGCTCGTGGCATCTGGTTAACATGGAACTCTTCCCGAGTCTCAATCACGGAGGCGGATCGGTCCGAGCAGTTTCTCCATGTACAGGTGACTAGTGGGCATGATCTCTGGTACTTAATGGCGGTTTACGCTGATCCTGCTCTCGTGCAGCGTCGAAGCCTTTTGCAAGCAATCCGCTCTATTTCTGAGGAGATGGTCGACCCCTGGATCCTCGCGGGGGATTTTAACTCAATTCTACAACCGTCAGATAAGCTGGGGGGTGCCCCTTTTGATGCAAGTAGGGTGAGAGACTTTCAGGAGTGTGTTCTTGATGCAGGGCTGATCGATCTTGGCTATAAGGGTCCACCGTTTACGTGGTTTCGCACAGGGCTGAAGGAAAGGTTGGATCGGGGGCTTGTGAACACCATGTGGTCCTCGATGTTCCCGGACACTGTTGTTCGCCATTTGCCCAGAGTTTAAAGTAATCACAGGCCTTTACTGCTCGCACTGAATCCCCAATTCCAGCCTGCGGGCCCAAAGCCGTTCAAGTTTATAGTTGCCTGGCTGCTTCATTATGACTTTAAGAACATGGCGGAACGAGCATGGGAGCGAGGGACTGATTTACTTAGCTCAATCAAAGAGTTTGCGGAGGAGGCTAAAGCGCGGAATATTCACACCTTTGGGCACATTATTCGTAAAAAGAATGCACTCCTGGCAAAGATCGAGCGCCTGGAGGTGCGAACAGGCAGTAATGATGATAACGCAGCTCTTAGACAAGCTCGAGATGAGCTGGAAGATATCCTAGTTCAGGAAGAGTTACTTTGGTGCCAGAAGTCGAACTTGGAATGGGTCACTTCGGGAGACAGAAAGACGAAATATTTTCACTCGCGTACTATGAAGCGCAGACGGAATAATAGAGTCACTGTCTTGAAGGATAGCGAGGGACAATGGGTGGACGATCCAGATCTTCTCCTGGATATGGCCCGTCAGTTTTTCACTACTCTTTACATGGATGATGGACTACCGATCAGTGTGATACAAGGGTCATTCCCAGAGGTGCCGAGCACACTTTGGCAGGCCACGGAAAGGGAGTTTACGGAGGAGGAACTGTTTGGGGCGGTCAAGTCTATGGGGGCTTTGAAAGCTCCAGGTAAAGATGGGTTAAATCCGCTTTTCTACCAAAGATGCTGGAACCTGGTTGGGAAAGGAGTGGAGGACTTTGCTAAATTGTGTTGGGACGAGCCGACGAGGATCAAGAATGTCAATGCCACGGTCATCACGTTGGTCCCCAAAATCCAACGGCCGACGATGATAGAGCATTTCCGGCCCATCAGCCTCTGCAATGTGGCCTATAAGATGATTACCAAATTCCTTGTCGAACGTTTGAACCCTCCTGGTTCATGAAACTCAGACGAGTTTTGTGCCCGGAAGACATATTACTGACAATATCTGTGTTTTATAGGAAGTAGTCCATTCGATGCGGGCGAAGAAGGGGAAAACATGGTGGATGGTTCTGAAGATTGATCTAGCCAAGGCTTATAAATCGTATTAAATGGAGCTTTGTTCGGGACACTTTGGCTGCAGCAGGTCTCCCACGAAGTCCATTGATATTACGATGAGCTGTGTTTCTACAGCTTGTATGCAGATCCAGTGGAACGGAGGTCTTACTGAGGAGTTCTCTCCCACCAGAGGGCTTAGGCAAGGCTGCCCGCTCTCCCCCTATCTGTTCACCCTATGCATGGAGAGACTGGGGCACCTTATTAGTGCCGCCGTCGGGGAGGGCAGATTGAAGCCGATCACTTTGTCACAACAGGGACCTCCGTTGTCACATCTTTTCTTCGCTGATGATCTCATTTTGTTTAGTGTGGCATCTCTTGAGCAGGTACAGCCGTACAGGTCATCTCGCAATGCCTGGAAGACTTTGGGGCGGCTTCTGGCCAGCAAGTGAGCAAGCCCAAATCGAGGGTCTTCTTCTCCCGGAACATCTCTAATGCTGTTGGTAAAACTCTGAGTGACGCTCTCAATATCCCTCAGACCACGAACCTTGGGCGCTACTTGGGCGTCCCGGTGATCCATGATCGAGTGTCGAAGGCGACTTTTGTTGATTTGGTGGATAAGATTGATGCTAAGTTGGCTAGCTGGAAAGTAGCAACTCTGTCTCTAGCAGCACGGATCACTTTAGCGCAGTCGGTTCTGGGCGCTTTACCTGCATACATAATGCAGACATCGTTTCTCCCGACAGCAGTTAGGGACTATATTGATAAGAAGATTCGGGGCTTTATCTGGGGGAGCTACGAACAGGGACGAAAGATCCACCTGGTCGACTGGGATTCTTTATGCAGGCCGAA